TCCATCCAGCTTTACTTATGACATCACCTGGCTGTCCCCTTCAAGTATTTGAGTTTCCAATGGCTCCTGTCACAAAATAATGGAAATGCATTCAATGACATAAGAGGTCATGGAAAAAAGTGGTGGGGTGAACAATAGTAATTTTTAGAGTGAACAATACTAGCCTATCCTATTTTGTTTTGGTTAATAATTTTGTGAACCCCCTGGTAATCAAGATTCCCTAAAAGTGCTACCCAACTCAATAGCCACTGAGAACAATTTGATGAATTCACACAGTGGCTGGAAGGTATGGAGGTAATTGTCTGAGTGCCCGATTCTTGGCAGCTGTAGACACCTGAAGATGACCAAATGAACGTGTGGCCGTGTCAAGTTGATGACAACTCAACAAACCAAGCCCACTGCCGTTGAGTTGATTTCAATTCATAGAAACCCTACAAAATGTATATATATCAATGTTGATATAATATATAAATATATATATTTATATAAAATATATACAGCTGTCCCATGTAGGTCCCAAGGCTGTAAATTATAGAAGCAGATTACCACATCAGTCTGCTGCAAGGTGGATGGTGGATTCAAACCGCCGACCTTTCAGTAGCAGCTGTGCACGGTTAACCACTGCACCTCCAGGGCTTCTTTCAGAGGAGACGTCTCCAGTGAAAATGATCGAAGGCTCTTCAGTGTCACAGTACAGGAAGAACATGGAATCAAGAATTGTTGGCTTGTCTACATTGCCACACTCTGGCCCAGGATGAAAGGCAATCTCTATGCTTTCTCAACGTGTGTGAGACAACACACATGATGCCAGCCACAGAGCATAGGAGCACACTAGTTCCAAGTCAACATCTTGGATTGACTCAGGAAGCCCGGGGATAGCCAAATGTGGACCAACACATCGATGCAATCCGCTATCTCTTTGCAGTAGTTTGGTCTTCCACTTACTGCTCTAGTTAGCTCTTGCGTGAAGCATACGGGAGAGCAGTCGGACATGAAGGCCCAGAGGTTGAGCTGTGTCTTGAGAGAAAAACAGGAAATAAAATGAGATTGAAGCGTGAGAAATGAAAATCGTCATAATTCATGGGGGGAGAAAATAATCTGAGGACCAAGTGTGCAGCACGTCAGAAAAGAATTAGAGAATTGTAACATTAGAGTCTGTGAACTGGAAACCAGATCTGACTTCATAACCAACCAGCCAGTACACAGTGTCAGTGTTATTCTGAGAGGCCGAAGGAAAGTTATTATGGACCAGCAGCCTAAAGAGCTCACGTTCTAGGCAGCTAATTAAAGATGGGGACAAATCAGAGATAGTTTGGTGAAAGCTGACAAGACTTTTTAAAAAGCCGAGACTGCTGGAAACCAGAGGCGAGTTTAAAAGAGTTAAAAATATGGACTACTGGCGTGATATCGATATACTTAAAGGCATTTATTGACTTTAAACTTTGGAAAAATCATTCACAAGTTCAATAACTAGTATGGAGATATAAGAAATAAATGGGCACAAGCATCACGAGTTACCCAGAATGACAGTTACTTCATCTGGCCACTTCCTTACTCCCCTGCTCTGAGAAGGAACCATTAAGACAGTATTTGCTGAGGAATGACTACAGTACTTTGGCTCTTTCGCTTTCTCTAACTTCTATGAATTTTTATAATGCCACAAAAACACTTGAGGAGGAATTTTGGCAAAATATTTGTAATTTCTTCAACAACATTGCTCATGGAAGAGGCAAAACGGAAAGCAATCACTTAGTAACTGCAGAGAGACAAGCAGGCAGAAGCAGAAACAAATTGCTTACGATGCTGTTCCTGATGAAAGAAACCAAACCAAACCCACAAAAGCCTATCTGAGTTGAGATATTAAAAAGCCTGTTGGAAGCTGAGAATTGCACGTCAGAGGAGCACGCTGCTTCCCCTTCCCATCTGAAGAAATGGTACCTGTAGTTTGTGTGAAGTACAGCTCTAATGTCAGCAGCTTGTAGGAGACAAACACGGAGGGGATAAAAAGAATTCTGGCATGGGCCTTGGGCTTCTGGCATCATTAGTGACAGGTCTGCCAAGATGCTTTGGGAAACATTTTAATTTAAATGCCAAGTCTATTTCAACGAAGTCTCCCTGGTTTGACCTGGTGAGACTCCAGAGTGAGATGGATAGGTGCTCATTTTGGAAGGCATTAAGGGATGAGATCGTGGCTTTATAAAAAGCATGGTGGAGGTTTAAACCTCAATGTGCCCCTCTCAACATCCTGAAGCCCTTTGTCAATAAATGGCTCTCCTAGCATTTACTAGTGATTGGTCAGTGTGGGGTGAAAAAAAATTAGATCCCAATGTAGAAAGGGCAGAGATGCCTCCAGGCATTTACTCAAAATATCAAAGTTAGAGAACTTTAAGAATAAAGGTTCCAACATTTTTTCCTCCCTTCCTCCCCACCTGCTCCATAGCATATCCACAGGCTATTATGATTATAAATTTGATAAAGTAGATTAAACATCTGATGTGAATTATTTGGATATACTTTTCTGCAAAACTATCACAGGACTAATATTTTGAAGCAAAATACTAATATTTTGAAACACAATTAGATGAGGAAGGCAGCAAAGGGAGGGGACTGAATAAAATATTAAGACACTGTTGTCCATCGATATGAAAATATTTCTGTTGGTGTGTAGGCCCGGGTGGGTAAGAGATGGATAAATGCTGGTGAGCTGGGTTAGAAAAACATGAATCTGGAGGATCAGAAGCCTTAAAACGCCCTCACGAGCAACTTGAAGGTGTTTGATGTTGCTTTCAGGGGCAAGGGCGGGTGTGTATATGCATGTAAAGCAAGTTTTCTCAGAGGCAACTTGGCAGCTTGCTACAATATCATGCCAATGAAAACAAGGTCTTCAAGTTCACAACTCCCCTTCCCCCAAACTGATCTGCTTCCCCTTGCATCCTGCTGGGAGTGCATTCCCGGAAAAGGAAACGTAAATTGGTTGAGAGGTGCTGGGCTTTAAAGAAGGGCGTGAGGCTGGAACTCGGGAGCCTGGGAGGGAGAGGTGGGTGGAGCTAGGCAGAGTGGGAACTTAAGTACCACGCGGTGGAATTTGGGCCTCATCCGGCGGGAGGGAGGTCTTCCCGCAGACCAGGGACAAGACCTTCGTTGGAGGCTGCAGCATTTTATTCTGCCTGAAGCATCCTAAAGGAGGGCCATAGAATGGAGGAACCAGCTCAGGCAATACCGCACAGATGAGCCTGACCCAGGGCAGGGCTGCGGAGGGCCGGATATCAGGCATCTCCGGAGGCGAGTGGCAAGATCAAGAAGGGCACCGTGTGGGGCGACAGTGATAAATATTGGCGGGATGACTGCAAGCCTGGAATGAGCTCTGCCAATCTCTCTTGTCTCTCACCCCTCCCTCAGCATTCTTGCAACTAGTGAAATAAATGTTTGCAACTAGTTAAATAAATGTACGGTTCCTTCAGGAGCCCAAGGACGCAGAACTGCCTTTAATATGTAAAATGGGTCTGACCGCTTGGGGGAAAGCCCAAAGGGACATACATCCAGGAAGCATGTTCCTGGGCTGCGTGGGAAGGGTACGGTTCTCCACGTGGGGCGCGGAAAACGAGGTGCAAGGCAGCTGAACCCCGGACCTGCGCTCGGGCCCCGGGGCCTGGGCGGTCTTTGCGCCTCGGGGCCCCGGGCAGGTGATTGGCAGTTGATGCCGATGCACCCGAGGTGGGGGGAGGGGGGTGTTATTCCGCACCCTCGGCCGCCGCCGTCCCCTGGCAGCGAGGTCCCCGTGCCCGGGCCAGAGCAGCCAAGCCCTGGAGCTGCCGGTGGGCCCGGGGTGGTGGGGGAAG